ATGGGCCCTGCTAATAGATTGCTGACCTGCCTTCGTGTCCATCTTGCCCCTGTTGGCCGCGCAGCGAAAGAGCTGAGTCTAACTCTTCAGCTTGGACTGCGACATATCCTAACCTATGCATGTTATTATATATTTATGTGCAGCGCCTTGCACTCGCTCCACTTTTCCAATATTACTCGAGTGAAACTATTTTCATTCCGAACTGAAAGTCGTTTATATCAAAGTTTCGTATTTCACTAACCACACACCAAATCTGAGTACTCTAGCCCGTGTTGTCCCTGAGTTCCTATGGGCTGGAAGGCATACGTAAGTCTACATATAATGATACAAAAATATCTCTAACAGTTATCATCTTTAGTGTTAGCCTTACAGCCACTCTCTCGCTGTCTCTCCCTCCCTTAAATAGACTAGCTCTCATATGCATGCATTCTAAAGGGTATCTGCAGTATGAATTACCCTATATATTAATTTGGCATTATTTTTACATATTTTTATTTTTAATTCCATACATAATTCATAATTAATTGACACTCATTTATATGCATAAAATTTTTTCGAAATTATTTGGTTTTTTCTTCGTTTTTTATTAAAATTATTTAATTTTGTATTTATGAGATTTTTGCATAAAACACAAAGAACCGTTAATAATATCAAACGACCCCCTATGGGATGTTAACATACAATTTATGCTAGTCCCCGTTCTCGAGCCCATTGACCAGGACTGTTTCATACCCCTTCACCATAACAACGCTGCCCTCTGCCCCTCGACCTTTTATTCAATTTCATTTGAGCGCATTTTTCGCATAAATTCCATAGAAAATAGCTCTATTCACTATTTATTACTGGCCATACTGTTATGTTAACCCCTCGACACCCACACACCCACACACAGACAAACTTTCCCCTTGCGCTTGCCCTTTGATCGAACAATGAAAGGCCTCGAGCCTAGGGTCCAGTTTGTGTTGTTGCTTTTATCGCTCAATTCGAACCCAGAAAGTTAATAATTCTATATTATTTTTATGTGCGTGTCCATGAGACTACACACTTATATACACATATACACACATATATAAGTATATATATATTTATTATATATATATAGTAAAACTTTTGTCACATAAAGAACTTGCCAGCCTCGTGGCAAAAAGTTGCGCCGTCTGCACATAAAATTATTAAATTGTGCGTTTCGCATCTGTAAATTCTTTCATATTAGCAACTGCTACAACTGCCACGCCCACCCACCCAGCAGGAAAAACGATAATGGCTTGGGCCAGTGGGTGCAAAAAGTTTGTTTTAATTTTTCTTTATTTTTGCAATAATCAAGGCGTGTCCTCGACTCGAGTTGCTCTGCTGCGGGGGCTTTGTCTGCGTCACAGGTGCAAATGTGCTGCAATTGTCTACATGAAACCGGGAGGCGTGCGGACGGAGCCTGCTGTGTGGGCGTAATCAGGCGGCATGCGCTGTCATTTGGTAAAGCACTCAGCCTGCGTTTTGACAATGAGCAAAAGTGCATGACATACAGACACGATTAGCACAGTATACACTGAGCCAAACAGGTGTCTGAGAGGAGAAAATAATGTACTGAAAGGTACAGTGCGGAGAGTATATACTGTTATATGCATATAGATATATATATATATATATCTATATATATATATCCATATTTATATATAAAAATCTGATTAACTGATTGATTGATGATTGATTAATTGATGAACAGCTTAGAGCTCATTTGCTTAAAAGCTTACCTTTCTAGTCGAAAATATATAAAGTTTCTAGAGCTATCGGAACTTAGACATTTGATTGATGAATGATTGATGTAATAGGAGTGAGTGAAAAACAGGCTCAAATATTCGAAATATTAAGTAAAAATTGATTTTGCAGCTTACTTCTGCCAATAAGCTGATATTTAAGAGAGGAGCTTCAAAATTAGTTACCTGATTGATGAGTGATTGACGAAGAGTGAATAGCCCAAACGGCAAGTGAAGAGAACCTAGCTATGATCTTGCGAAAGTCGTGTTAATTGATTGCACTAAGTGCCACATTCTTTTCGCTCAGTGTCTGCACATACGACTCAAATTGCTGCTGAACTCGCGCCCTAACCTCAAAACGCGACTTTCCACCTGAATGGCCTACCGCTGCACGGCTCGGATTCGACTGTCCAACTGACTGACTGATTGACTGATTGAACAATTGTGGGGCACACAATTATGGCTAACACTGTCACGTCATTAAAAATGCTAACGGCTCGCAATGTCAGGGCTGCACTTGTGCAAGACGCCTGCTTGAGGCGAGGGCATAGGCGGAGCCGGAAGGGGGGTAAGACTATATTGGTAACTTGTCAATTGTTAGGTTGGCTAACCAAGGCAGTCTGTCAGCATTGGCCCCTCGATGACGATAACGATGGCGATGACAATGATGAGGCCAAGAAGCCAACGTCTGGACACGGGCAGCCGCCCGCCCCCCTACCCCGTCCCCCTTAGACACTTCACAGGTCTAACGTCTGGCTACTGGCTGAAGGACAGTAGGGCAGACGGGTAGACGGGCAGATCAGTGTGAAGGTCGGGGCTAAGAGCTAGCTAAAATCAATATTACTCGCTTTAAATTATGAACAATCCAGCGAATTGTCGTCCGGCTGCTTATTACTGTGGCAAGTTTGACGAAGAAACTATGAAAATATTTTGAAACATTTGTTGGCAAACTTTTGTGGTCACGTCTCACATAATACCCTGCATAATCACTTATGTCACGACACACGAAAATGAATCCATTATAATGATATATGTGATATATTTGATATATATATATATATATATATATAGATCTGTGTGTAAATAGCTGCTTTGTTTATTAGGTATTTCGATTGTTCAATGCGAGCTGAGCAATTCGTGTTTCCACTCTGCGACGACTGGGTACAACTGCTGTTAATTATTGTGGCCGAGTTTATATATATATATAGAAATTGTTGAATCAGACATTCATATCACTCAGTGGCCATACCCATGGTCAAAGCAGTGCGCATTCCTTTCTTCAAACATTCACGATTTATTTAGAGATTCAATAGAAAACCTTTTTTCAGCTGTGTAAGCCATATTTGAATATATATAGTTCAGTCCATATATATATAGGTCTGATTCTAAGCCAAGTTGAAAATCTTTTGTAGTTAACACAAATTTATTTATATAAATAAAATCTGTTCTGGTAATTGCTTATAAGTTTTAGACTTTTCTTCAACATTAGCTTGCATTAAGGGTATTCCCGTCTTGTTTAGCTTTTGCAACACCAATTGAATATAAAGTTTCATCAAAATGCAGTTAAATGCTGCATTTTTGATGTCCCAACAGCTTCGCTCTGTGTTGTGGCAATTGATTGAGAAACTTACGTTTAGGTTGCATGTTGCACGTGGCAAGTTAATATGTTGCACTAATCATTTCCGTATTGCCTTCAATTTCAATTTTTGATTTTTTGATTGCTCCACAAAGACAGCCAAATAATAGTTCACTAATGGAGCTGGCGGGGCAGGAGCAGGAGCAGGAGGCGGAGCCACTGGGAGGGTGCGTGTCTGGAACCAGCTGACCAATGGTAAAAATCAATGCGCATTATGAATAACGCCCCCGCACACCAACACAGGAGAGTGGTATGCAGTGTAATGCAATGTAAGGCCAACCACATGGCGTATGCGCAATATTCACAGTTTAAATTTATAATTTGTGCTATAATTAATTGGACCAAATTGAAAAAAACGCAAAAGGACATCCAATTAAGGCAACAACCACAAATAAGCCACAAAAGCAACAACAAAAAATTATTTTTTTGTAAAAGAGTGAAATATGCAGGAAAAAAATTCAGGAAATTGCATCTGGAAAGAACAAACTAATGAATTAAGGGAGAATATATGAGAGAGAGAGAGGGAGGGAGAGAAATATTGTTAACATATATTAATAAGCAGATATATGGACAGGGAAACTGTGAAATGGAGAGAGAGAAAGGAACAGGAAATATAAGAGAATGTAGCGAGAGAGAGTGAAAGAGAGAGAATAACTAAGCAAGAAAATAGACAGAAAGATAACTGGCTATAGAGAGATTGAAACCAGAGAGAGAGAGAGAGAGAGATTGAAGAAAGAGACAGCTGATAAAGTGAAGATAGAGAATGAAAAGGAATTAAAAGCATATAGAGAAAAACTGAAAGAGAGAGGGAAAAAGAAGCAGGCATAGAAGGAACAGACAGAAAGAGAGGCAGAACGAGAGAAATAGAGAGTAAAAAAGGCGAGAGAGAAAGGGAGAGAGAAGTAGCAAAAGACTAAAGGAGACAGAAAAATGAAGAGAAAAAAAGAGACAGAATAGATAGAGCAAAGGATTGCAAGCTAGAAAGAGACAATGTGAGAAGGGCAGAGAAGCCAAAAGGGATTAAGATTACGATTGGCCTATGCCAAACGCTCACTTTAAATAATAAATAACCAATAAAGAAAGAGTCGAGAAATGATGAAGTGCAAAAGGAATGCAAAACAATTCATGAACCAATCGTGAATAACATAAAATGCCAACTGAAAAAGTGGGTTAACAAAAACTTTGAATCGCGCACAAAATCATCACGCAATAATTTAGCTTTTCCTGCTCGAACAATGGGTCTTTTTGGGCTTTCCAGCATCAGCCAAGTTGGCGAAAACTTGGCCAAGCGGCAAAGACGCAATGCAAGTGACCTCTGCGAACAGTTTGAGCAGCTGCTGCGGCTGCTGCTGCTGCTGCTGTTATTGTTGTCAGCTTCCATTTGTTTGCTTTGGCTAATTAAGAAGGCCCACAAGAGCCAGAGGGGCGTGGCAGCGCCTTTAATAAACTGAAAATTGAAAAGTGCTGGCCAAAAATTCCATATTTTAAATATTTAATTCGATTTGTTTATTCAGTTAATTAATAAATTCGTCTCGATTTTAAATACATAATTAAAATTCAATTTTATTATTTGGGAGAAGAAAAAAAATTGATTTAAATTAAATTTTCGTCTTGGGACTAAACACAAAAAAAATATTGAGCAATATTTAAGAGTAGTTAGATATTTTGCTAGGCAATTGTCGTGGATGCTTTCGGCATAGCTATTTACATAGGAATATATATGTACAGAGTGTGATTGAGCGATTGATTGAGTTGTTTTTGCTTGATTGACAACTATTTTCAAAATGTTGCACTGATCAACTGAGCTATTGCTTGCTTTGTTGCTTGTCTAACTGTTGAACAGTTTGTCTTCTACTGCATTGATTGACTGCTTGATTGATCGACTGACTGGCAACCTGTTGCCAGCAGCCAGCAATCGATCAATGGATTGGCGTGTTGACAACTGCAACGACTCCGTGCCAAGCGGAGCCTGTTCAGTTGTCCCTGTAGCCACCTGCTCCTGCTCCTGCTCACAGATCTGTGCTGATGGTATGCGTCAGATGCTGTCGCTGCTCCATTGGATAGTTGTCCTCATAGATGGACGCATTCGTGTCCACTTTGAAACGCTTGGCCGCACTCTCCATCTCGCCATCGAGGTCGGTGAAGGCGGGAAAGCCGACGGGACAGAAGTGTCCGGCAATTGCCTCCGGTATGTGGCTAACATTGTGCAGCATGTGTGCCGGGGTGCTCTGTAAGTAGTTGCGCCACTTGTGATAGGAGCGCGAGTTTATATCGAAGGTGACATCGCGTCGCTGACAGGTGGGCGACGAGGTCTTCGGCATGATGCGCTGTGCGTGCTGCATCATATACATCTCCCATTCCAAATTGCCAACGCCTGGCGACATATCCAAGTTGTCGGAGCTCGAGTTGCTTTGGTTGGCCAGCTCCATGTCCTGGGTGCGACGCAACTGCTGCTTTGTGGGCGTCGATGCTGCGCTGCTGCACGTATAATAGCCGCAAGAGCGCTCCAATTCCTTTTCCACTTCGGCCAAAGGCTGCTCGGCGAAGTCATCGCAAATGGGGCGCGTTTGACTGCGACTCCAAATGCTGCGATTGCTGCCACCCAGGCCGCTGCTGTTGGTGCTGCCACAACTGTTGCTGGTGCACTTGCTATTGCTGTTGCTGTTGCTATTGCTGTTGGTGTTGCTGCCACAGCTGCTGCTGCGACTACGCTTGGAGGCATAAACGGTGCCATTCAAACTGCGTTCCGTATCCGTCTTTAGACTGCTCGCACAGCAACCCATCTTTGATTGATTCGAGTATATAGTTTATCTTAGAGACTGCACTGCAAATAGTACTTCGCGCTGCGCTGCGTTAACGTCAACTGTTTGGCCAAATAGCGCGACAGCTGGCTCTTATATAGCTAGCTGCCTGCCATTGAGTGTGCAGGTAGCCCTCGCCGCTCGTTGCGAATTTCCCGGAATTGTTTTTGGTCGAAGACGCTTTACCTGATCGATCGCAGTTGGGCCGTATTTTTGGCTAATCCGTCGGGTTTTATGGCACGGCCCAAAAGCACATCCCGTATGTTTCGGCTTAAGATAATATACACACATCAGTTCTACCTGCTTAATGTCCTTGATGGTCCTTGTCGCAGGGATTTCGCTTGATGGATTTTCAATTTCGTAAATCTTTTGGATTTTTCATAAGCTCGCGAAAAACTCAGCACATTCGGCCAACCCTTTTCTCGCGATTGCCCAAAAACGTTTACACAATTTATCCAGTCAGAAATCAAAGCAATTCGATGGATATACGCATATAGACATCGAAAGGAAGAAGGTGAGCGCGTCTTCTGGCTGCAGCTGACCTCGTGCTGTGACCATAATTCGATTTGAATTCTTGGTCGGCGCTGCGACTGCGCCTAACCTTGGCCCATTGCGTTTTGTGGGCCTTTGTTGTGCAAACGCCGTTGACGCCGGTGCAGCCATGGACGGACAATGGGAGGCGCAGACAACAGAAGTATACAACAGCTGCACGACGACTCGATCTGCATTTTATTGAGAGAGTTTTCGCTTTCCATCCGAGCACATTTCACATGAAGTCTTGTGAATGGAGTCGTTCGCCTTCGTCTTTGGCCAGAACTACTTATGACTGAGTCGACTCCTGCTGCTGCTGCTGCTCTTCCAGCCTCAAGGCTGCCCAAAGAAATTGAAAGCAAACATATCTCAGGCACTTGCCTGCCGCGAAAGGCTATCAACTGTTGGCTAAAAATACTCGACCTGTTCTTTAGCCTCATTGACACGAGCAAACTGTCAATTTACCTAAGTGACTTTCTCGAATATTCCAAAAATTTCCATAGCTCTCTAACGTATTCAATTAGCTAACGTCATTAAAAAGGATAACAAGACCAAGTGCAAAAGATCTTACTTACAAATAAGCCAATTTGAGCCACATTCTGGACTATATGCATTTCGCATGAGTCAGTTTCAGCTATTAGCGAAAGCCGGAGACAGACCTTAAGAACGCTACTTAAAATATAGTTTTACCCCACTTTACTTATTATATATAATCATAGATCTAGCCTAAGTGGATATATATGATCTATAAGTGAGTTAACCAGGCAGTAGAGTCATATAGTCGGCTTCAGAGAGATATAGAGATATAGAAATAGATACAGATTGAGATGCAGATGGAGATACAGATGCAGATGGAGATACACATATAGATACATATGCAGATACAGATTGAGAAACAGAAACAGATACATGTTGGGATAAAGATCCATATACACACATAGATACAGATACATAAACAGATACAGATACATGTACAGATACAAATACAGATACACATACAGATACAGATACATATACAGATACAGATACATGTACAGATACAAATACAGATACAGATATAGATACAGATGCAGATATATATACATACACAAATACATATTGAGATAGAGATACAGATACAGATACAGATTGAGATACAGATACAGAAGAAAATATCAAATGGAAACCGAAAATCGAATGGGAATTTCTATGAACTGTCTATGGCATACATGAACACATCGAGTTTGATATGCGTGCGTATTGTTGTATAAGTCAAGGTCAGTATAATTGCAGTTGTCAGCTCCTCTAAAATTCCAAAGGTTGGGCAATAAATTGACCCTTTGGCCAAATATTCCGAACATGTTTGCATATCTAGCGGGGAAAGCTAGTGAAAATGTGTCTTTGGTAAATCCTCAACTCTGTTTTCACACTTTCTCAAAGCTGGGTCCTGGTTAAATACTTGCTATGGCTGGGACGCGATACCAAGCAGAGTCAGCCCCGTTGCGGAAGGGTTGAGGCGTTTGTTTTCCCACACTCGCTGATGCTTTGGGTGCAGCCCATTTGTTTGCTTGGTGTCAAAAGGTTGCGACTCGCGTCGACTCTTTGGCCTTTCGCCGGGCTCATTTGACTATCGGCAGGAAATGTGGATTGTTGCATTTTCACACGCAATCACAACAGGCCCGCATTGCTGGTCGCAACTTCGACCGGCCCACTGGTATTTCCCCCGCTGCCCAAGAACAATTTTCCGACTGCATGGGCCAAGCGGCAAAGTCTTTTTGTGCGGTTGACAATTTTCCAAATCCCAAATGGAATTCAACTCCGGGTTTTTTCGTTCTTTCCGTTTTTGTTCTTTTTTTTTATTACTGCTGCTGCTTATCTGCGAGTACGTTAAAGAAATACCGGATGCAGGACCTCGACCAACAAGCCAGCTCCGTGCACGTTGACCAAACAGCTCTCGAGCGCACTTTCATAGTTTGGGGCTGCCGTTGCACATTTTCCGATTTGCCAATTTTGCCGCACTCTGTTTGCTTTGTGTGGTGGCAACGTGAACGTGACTTTGACTGCGGGCAGAGCGACGGAAACGGAAACAGCTGCCAGCCCAGCCATTGAAGCTAAATGCCAATCCACGAAAATATAACTTAAGCTCAATTTAAATTGCAGCCAAAAGCAACGATAGATAATCGAGTTATTATTTACAAAGGGTATGCCAGCTCGATTACTCACGCTATTACAGCAAACTATGTGAAGCTGGAGACATCAAATTTGGTATTCGGCTTGCAATTGGCATCTCCTGTGTGCTAAACATATGACGAATGCTCCTTTTTAAAGGGTATCTCTGTCTGGGCTAAGACATTTTCGCACTGTCAGCAGCAGTTGGCTCAGCGCACAATCAATTTGGAATCGCATGCTTGGCTCTACGATTGCTCCACTCGGCAATCACTGTCAATTAGTAACGCCATCAATTTCGGACCAACTGCAATCGGAGTTTGGATCCCTGGCAGAGCGCAAACCGAGACACTCGATGCGTCCCCTGAGGGAGCATGGACCAGCCATGGACCAGCATGCGGCCGAAGCAATTGAAATGCCATTGACTTGCATTGAAATGTAGCGGGCGAGGGCAAGACAATGCAGTTCAGTGATACCCTGTAAAAAAGAGCTGTCGGCAGTATCTGCCAAAGAAAAGCTAGCTAGATACCCCGTAGAAACTACAATAAACTGCCTATAGTTATGCTGCTCATATGCATAGTAAGGATGTCCTTAGGCAAATTCCGAATAAGGTTTAATAGTAAAAATATTGCATCAAATTAACTTGTTCTTTGACTTGCAAGGCAAAGGCTACACTATAAGATACCCTCGAAAGCCACACACACAACTGTGCCCTGCGTTCACTCTCCCAGATCTCTAAGTCAACGATCGCACTTTGTGAAGAGCATATTGCACTGACTTGATACCCTGTATAAACTAAATTAACAATATATTCTAGTGCCCAGATACCTTATAAAATCAATAGCAAATTGACACCAATTGAAAGCCTTGGGATTTATAGATTATATAGAGAAGTGCTTCCAGTCTATGCTCAAACCTAATTTCAAAGATCAGCTTAAGCTGCTGCACTCACACTCACCCACAAGCCGCGCATACCCACTTTATCATAATTGTGCAGGGTACAAGCGCAGCACTTGAACTGCAAATCGCAGCAAACACAAGAGAGGGCCACTTGGTTCGCTTTGGAACGTGCCCGAAATGTTGAAATTGTCAAGAATTTCGAATGGAATGCAAAAAAAAAAAAAACAGTTCCCGACATTTCATATGCAACTTGCTCTATATGCTCGCTCAGCCAGTGGAGACGGGTATATGAGTGTTCTGTAAATTCTCATTTGACTGAGACTAGCAATTTATAGAGCTAAGTCGTTGAGCTCCTTGAAAGATCAATCTTTAAGTTTAATGAAATGTTTTAATAAATTGCTTAGTTTTTCGTTTGTTCAATCTTGAACGTGTATTGCGCAGTCGGTAACTGCCCACTTGTCTTATATTGGCTTGCAAGTGAATACGCTTTCGATCAAGGGGCAAGGACAAATGCATCATTGAGCAGATTATGTAGAAGGGGACTACGCAGCAAAAAGAGGCACATCTGGTCACTGTTTTGTAAATATCTTCTTTTTAGCTCACTTCCTGCAAAAAGACACCAGATAGATGCAAAACACTATAAAGCTATAAAAGTGTGCGTAAGCGTTGTTTGCCTGCTTTTCCGTGCGTTCGCTTGTTGTTTATGAAATGCATTTGCGGGCCAGCCCTTGGCCCTCGGGCCACATATTTGCGGCAATTTGGGCCATAAACATGAACGCCTAGGCCAGGTAGGCGTCGCCCGGACCTGGCCAACAAGCCATCCGTACGAACGGCCAAACGGCCTGAACAGGCTATCAAGCGCGTCCTTTCACTTGTTGATCCGGCTGGCCATTCCGCGGCCACGCTGTCAAGTTGGCCGCCAATCGAGTCTGTCGGGGCGCTCGGTCGCGATTGGCGGTATTTCCGTTTTGGTATTTCCGCTTGGCCGCGTGGAATTGCCAATGCAAATCGCGTCCACATGTGCCACATAAGCCGCTCGTTAGCGTCTGCCGATGCTAGGCGGCATCTATTTAAACGTTAATTGTGTCCTTGCTGCTCCGCTTGGCTCTAAGCACTTGCTGCTATGCCAAACGCAGCTTGAGGCAAGTGTGTCCGGCTGGCTGTGCGAATGTGGCATGTGGCCAGCCCACGGGAATTGCCCACAACAGCGTTGGCCAGGTGACTTACCACAGCCACAGTCACAGCTCATCGCTGCGTACAGTTGTGCCTGCAGTACAATTAAATGATCAACAACAAGGGCAGGGACAGCCACAGCAGCAGCAATAGCTTTAATCAAGGGCCGTCTCTCTCCAATGTTGACCACTTAGCCAGAGCACTCTGCGTTTTATGTGACTCTCAGAACGTGGCTATCGCAGCTGCTCGTGCCCAAAGCAGTTCCATTAAAATGTTTGCCCAAAAGTAGGCAACACTTTTTGCACGCCCTCAACAATGGCTAAGTACTTGGCGTAGAGCAAGGGCTGGGGAGGCCGCAGTTAGGCATAAAATAGTGCTGGGCAATGCCTGAGCATATCAAGACAAATCAACTGCAATCGAACTAATACAAGTGCAGTTAGCTGACTGGGGTATGTTGCCTCAGCCATTCACAAGTTAGAAAGTTTATATATACAGAGAGTGTATATCTATGTCTATCTTCTGCAAGTCTCTCTGTCTGTCTCTTTCTCTTTGCCCCATTTCTCCTCTTCTTTCGCTGTATCTCCTGTCTTGTTTCTTTGTCTCCCTCCCTCTCAGTGTGTATCTGTCTCGCTGGCTTTTTATCTCTTTCTTTTTCTCTCTGCCTTCTTCTGTCTCTCTAACTCTCTATCTCGGTCTCCGTGCTCTTTCTCTTTCCCTCTCTCCTTCTCTCTGTAGCTCTCTCCCTATCTCTCCCTCACTCTGTCTCTTCTTTTTCTTCTCACTTTGTCAGCGACGCTTTTTTCTAAATGTTTCTAGAGTTCGAGTTATATGAAAAAGCTCTTATACCTTCACCAAGTCATAAATAGTTAGCATTAAATGCAGTATTGTGCAGTCGAGCATACCCGATTGCAAGCTTTCTTCATGTTTTTGGTGTAATTTGCTTTTGTTTTTTTGTCTCTCTCTGTTTCTTGGGTGGCATTTTGCATGTGTCATGTTGAATTAACAACACACATGAGTTGTGTGTATGTGTGTGTGCGTGTGTGTGTGTGTTTGTGTGTGTATTATTTGTTTGCTTGATTTACAAAACAGTTGAGTGCTTGTTTGTGTGTATTGCAATACATAGAAAATCAATATTATTTCTTACTCTTATATTAAGCTTCACACACGTGTGTGTGTGTGTGTGGGTGTGTGCATGCACGTGTGTGAATGCTGCTCTTGTTGTTAATACTTTATGAATTATTAAACGGCTATGGGTTCTCGCTTTGTCCGTCCTCCCGAGTACATTTACTCATAATTGAAACGACAATCTCAGTCGATACTTTTGGTACTCGATACCCGCTGATTGAAGTGCTGCGGGGCAAGGTATATTAGCCAGGCCAGTACGTATGTTGCCATTCCAATTCACTGTTCTAGCAGCTGCGCAAATTGACAGCTTTTCACAAGCTTCAATCGCATTTTCTTCTTAAATACCCTGTAGACTATGATAGATAAGCGAACTTGTCGCTTTTTAATTTTATATGAGCTTAAAAGGGCTTAAAGCAGGTCTCTTAGCATTAATATTTCATTAATAATTCATTTGTATCTTCAAACAATTTGAAACAAATCGTGGGGATATGGAAAAGAGTTATTAAGTTGATAAATAGATAAATGACAAGTGATTATAGGGTATTTATTAGTTGTATTATTTATTTTGTTAAATGAGTTTTGCATGAGAATAAATTCTACAGGTAAATGGCACTTGAAAGATATCAGTAAATAAATAGAAATAACTTTTTAAAGAGTATCTACTAGTTGCGCTTGCCAACTTTTCAGTATGAGTAATGCCAGAATACTTAATCTATAGAATACGTATTAAGCAGTAAGTGCTGCTTGTTAAACAATATATATATGAATATATATGTACAGTTAGAAGAGGTATTTACATGTCGGGTATACTGCTAACCGAGGCATGATATGCATGAGCATACATAATTGTTGATGACTAGTTCAAGGGGTATCTATAAGGCTATCTAGTAGGGTATCTCTTGGGCCATTTGCTGTTTGCCATTGTCTTCTGGCTGTACTGCAATTGCGTTAAGTAATTTTGAAAGTAGCTCACATGCTGCTCCTGGTTTTGACTTAACGAGCATTTAATTGCCAGGCTTACCCCTGGTGACACACACAAACACACACACACACACACACGCACACACAAATTAGCTGATTACCTGAACTTCCTTTCCGGTTTACCCTTTCTGCATATATTTTCACATTTATTGCATTTGCTGGCTTCTGCTTCTGCTTCTGCTTCTGTTGCCACTATCTTCACCCACACACATACACATACATATATAACTTCTATGTTTTTCCTTTTCCTTTTTCACTTTATCTGTTTTGTTTTTTGCTTATGCTTTGCATTTTTATGCGCCGTTTCATTCATAAATTACAGGGAATTTCTTATGCAGCGAAGTTCCAGGAAAATAGCCAAACAAATGTCGTCTGCTTGTCTCTCTCTCCCTCTCCCTCTCTCTCCCTCTCTTTCATAGCCAGCACTCAGTATCTCTGTCTCTCACTCCTGATCTTGTGCCCCGTGGATGCCTTGCGGGAATTGTGCATGTTAATTAGCTCATTTTCGGGCGTAGATTAAGCAAATTAACCAAATTAACTAAATGAGCAGCAAGTAAATAAATAAATTAAATGCCTCAAGGGAGAACAGCGCGCGACGAGGACGAGGAGGAGCCTAACTATTTGCTAATGACTGACAGGGCTATCTATCAAGGTCAGGACAAAGCTGATCAGCAAATGCATTAAAGCCAATCGTCACTAAATTGTGAGAATGTACTTAACAGACATTAGCTCTGGCCATAAAGCGTACAATATCATAACAGAATAGTCGATTAATTGAATATATATGTATGTATATATTGAACTCAGTTGCTATTAGAGCTCAAACGAGTTAAGTGTATATGTATCGCAGACAAACTGAACTAAAGCGCAGTTTATGATGACTAAGCCAAATGGCTTACATTTCAAGAGACCGTCAATGGGAGCTGGAGCTTAACCAACTTGGGCTTTGCTCAGTTCTATCGCATCATAGTCGTAGCTCCTAGTTAATATTACTAGCAAATGTGTCATAGGAAATTGCTATGGAAACTTAATTGAAGAAGAGTTATATAGGAAATAATATTCATATTTACATACATACATAAATGGCAGCACACACGCACACACATACACATACGCTTCATTACTCTGTCAACAACTGCAGGGTATTGCTCAGTCGAGCACACTCAACTATGGCAACTTCTTTTGCCTGACTTTATTCGAGGACGTTAAATTGATGGCATTTCGGCTCTTGTGGCTGCGCCATAAATCATCTTCATCATCATCATCATTATCACAACAGGGACTAAGTAGTGCCCTCTACCCCTTAAGCATCTCCAGCTACACTCACTCCCCTAGTTATGCTACAGTTGTAACTTTTAATGCACTAAACAAGTGCCAAAAGTTGCGTCTTAAGTTTCGCATATTCCTAAATTGTGTTCCATTACGGTAAATGAGCGTGTGTGTGTGTGTGTGCGGGTGTGCATGTGTGTGCGTGTCATGCCTGTTGTCTGACACAAGCACTTTACGAACTCGGTGTCAGCAGAAACCTATGCAGGCCGCCTTTGAGGCTGTGTGTCCCTGTGGTGGGAGATCTGGGGAGTGCCAGAGCGAACCGTTGCATGCAACATGAAGTTGCACATGTGAATTGGCCGCGTCAAAGCATGCAACACTCTGGGGAATCACGCTAAAATTTTACCTGATGTAGGCCGCACCCCACTCGCCCCCTCCTTCGTCTAGGTAATTTTGTACAAATTACGCAGCGCGTGGCAAAGTTTTCCATTGCTTGCAATTAAATTGTGCTTGATTCTAATTGAAATTGAATTAGCTGCCACTTTGGTGTAGTGCAGCGATCTGGCAGCTCTCTTAGTTAAGTTGGCTGCGGCAGCCTGCTAATTGAGACTGAAATGAATTTTTCAATTGAAAACTAATTAGAAGTTTGCTTCTAGTCAAATTATCAAAGAATCAAATGGGAAATTTACGATGGAGAAAAGTAGATGGACTTATAGATACTGTATATTTCTTTCAACCATTGCTTGATAAAGTTTTTGTCAAAGACAGAAAGATGCTTGGTCAATATTTTTATACTTAATCCACATCAGCAGCCGAGACGAGTTAGCGCTGACTGAAACCTTAAGCATAGCAAGGGTATATCAAAGTGGGGCATACCCAGCCAAAGTCTTGGAAGTGGAATAGGATACATATCCTCATCGACAGATATTAAAACTTGCGCAGACTGATTGGTGATTCTTGAGGGTCTCCATTTTTGTAAATTTGATCCCCTTCCCCGAGCTTTGCGGGCCTGGTCTAAGGCATTGGCATAAACTCAGCACACTTGCCACCCCATCTAGAATCAGCATTCATATCTGTGATTTATGCACTTTGCACTTGTGTTTATATCAAGGAAATATCGTAACCAAAATGTTTCTTTGATGACAGCTCGATGACCGAGTTTTGGCAAAGTTTTGTTGATTTTGATTTTGAGTTGACTGTTGGCTGTTGGCTGTTGGCTGTTGGCCAAGGTAAGCGAGTGACCAAAGTCAATATTTGCCACTTGCCACATGCGAGTGCCGCACTCGAAAGTTTGTCATTTGTATTTGCAATATTTGTAACCCGCTCTTCCTCTCTTCAATTCTTTTATTGCCAGTTGTGAAGCTGGCGGTGCACGCTGAGGAGGTCAGCACATCGACTGGCATCTCGGAAGGTGAGTAGCTGACGCACATGCCACAACGATGTGCTCAATTCGTAAAACTGTTTCGCAGAATGGGGCTCCGGCTGGCAGGGCGGCACCAATTTTCTGGTGGAGGTCGAAGAGACGGCTGCCATGTCCGCGAACGCCGCACGTGGCAGCAACAGCAGCAGCAACACATCCGAGGACTACAACGCCGAGCTAGTCAACAGCCGGGACATAGACCCCACTGGCACAGCAGCCACAGCCACCAGCAACGGCACAAATCTCGAAACGGGTTAGTTGAGTTCAACGCTTCGAACTCGCATTTACAATCAATTAATTTATGTGATCCCACTTAATCCAGCTTAAAAATATAGCGTTAGCGAGCATAAGGACTGCGATTATATATAATCGTTCGGGTGCCTCTGATTTTTACCATTTGCCAATTAGCTAGACTGGTCTTTGGCACTTTTTTCTTATAATCTCAAATTAAATTATTAAATGCACTCGCAGCGAACTCATTCAGTTAGCTTGGCTCGGGTTGGGCTATGTAGAGCTACGGCTTGACGCAGCCAACTTAATTAGTTGATGTAGCCGAAGCAAGAGAAAGACAGCGCTAGTTATGGTACAGCAGCCAATTTGTGGCGTTGCCAGACTGCTCAGTGTAAGCTCTCACAACAGCACATCGTGCTGCCAGACTATAAATAATTTATTCAAATATTATCGCTGAAATGTTAACAAATTAAAGTACTTAGCCAGAATATGTTAGCTCAAAATGGTATAAGTCTACAATAGCTGGCGTTGCCAGATTGTCAAAGTGTTATAAGGCCGTACAACTATCTAAAATGTAAAGTGTATGCTACAATATTATGAATTATCAGGATATGCTGCTGTCAGATCTTTGAAATAGTATAAACAGTGCTGCCAGATTAGCTAAATATTAAAATAGCGCTGTCTGGTTACCGACGCTATATGTAGTAACTATAATAAATACATACGTGACTGTCACAGTGACAGTTGCCAGATCCCATTGCAAATAAGAACACATTTCTAAAAAAATAACACTTGAACCGCGCTAAGCCAGCGTTGCCGGATCGCGCCGCACTCGGAAACAACGACATGAAACAGGATTGAATCGTAAAACAACATAAATGTGACGCATGTTGGGCTTTAAAGCAAATCCTTGAAGATGCGAACGCGCAGAATACGAGTAATTGAATGTTTAGGGTCTTAACTGTAATCCAATTGCCCCCAGCGACAGCAAGCAGCCAGAGCAGCAGAGGGGCAGGTGCTGACACAGCAACAGAATGTGGCAGCCAGCGCGCGATAATTGAATTCCACTCTTGCGGCAGCTTGAGTTATTTATGCGTCGTACGTGCAGCAAGCAGAAATTTAAAAATAATAAAAAAGAAATCTAACTAACAAGAACATCAATTTATGTACATTCCCTATGCATAGAGAACAATCGAAATGAGTTTGACTCCATCTCACTTATAGGCCCGAAGATCATCGTGCGCACCGAGGAGGTGCTGATTGTGGGTCTCGTGCTCATCCTCTGGGTGGGCGCCATAATGCTGTTCTTCAACCGCTGGGGTAAGATACGCATGCTGGAGCCGTATCAGCCGAAGTTTCAGCAGCAGCATCGCAGCTCCTGTCCACTGGTCGACATCGATGCCGTGCAGACGCATCAGGTAAAATTGATATTAACAGATTGTGACATCATCCATGGCAATTCGATTCGATTGCATATATACATATATCTATCTGCCCATACATCTCATTGATATTCTCTTTGGTTTTTGTCTTTGCAGCGCTCGTCTGTGTCCCGCATGTCGATGGGCATGGTGCACAGTCATAATTTGAATATGCCAACGTGTCAATTTGCGGCCTATAATCCGAGTATATATGCAAAGGGTAAGAGCATTGTCCTTGACGCCCTTGCCACGTGCCCCACTCCAAACGGTTGCCCCAGCCCTTACGCTGTGCGCCTCATGTTGCATGCTGCACGTTTTACGTTTGACCCAATCGACAATGCTGTGCCAATGAGTGTAATCAGCAGCTGCAGCAGCTTGGTAACAGTTCATAGAAATAGTAGTGCACAGCTGCATGATAAGCCAAGGTTCTTAGGGATTTAGGAATTCCAATAGTTGCCTGTGGAAACTGAAAATCATAGACCAGTTAACAATGTTGTTAAAATCCACAGTTATATCAGTTTGGTAACATTCAGAGGATTCAGGATATGCTCATAAAAATAGTAGTGCACTGATAAGGCGAGTGCTTTGTCGCTCGATAAGAATCGATAAGAATCGATTGCTGAAGGCATCAAATTTTGACGCGCAAACTCAGCAAAAATCTTTACAGAGTATCTACTAGTCGTGCAGCTTTCCTGTTGTTTACATGTTCTTGTTCGTTTTCGTGTAAAAAATTCGCGTAAAATGCAAATGCAAAATGCAATTAAATTCGAACAACGTCTTTACACACGTATCCAATAGACCCCTTTGCATGTGTGTATGTGTGTGTGTGGGTGTGCGTTTGTTTGTTGTCAACTCGTAATGCATGTTGTGTTGCCTACTTTTGAGCGCGGCGCGAAGCGTTACAAACTTTGCGCAGCAAATAAATTTTGCATGAAAATCGCATCGAACTTGCACAAAGTTTGTAAAGAAAACTTTGCGAACATTTTGACTTAAGATCTTGAACAAACAAATCTGCAAAAACTTGTCTGGACTCAAGAATGTATAGAAAATGTAATAATTACTTTAATCAACGTTTTTCCCATGCTGAGTATATAAAAGTCTGTTCGATATATATCGATTTTAACAACTAACAATGCGAACGACTTCATCATCATAAAACTTGTGACTCTTTGCCCTCACACGAGCTGCACTCCATTTAATTTGCTGCAGTGCCGCGAAAAGGTCTCGTAACTTTGAAGCGCTATAAAAGCTGATAAAGCAACAACTTTGCAAACTTTTATATAAGCATTTATTTTGCTATGCTTGACTAATTACATACACACACACATGATCCCTTTGCGAGCATACCTTGACACTTAAATGTGCGTCATTCATCATGTATTCAGGTCTTTGTGGAACACTGCTTGGCTGGCACACGGCACAAGGCAATGCCCTGCGAAAACTGAAGAGACCAAAGGCGAGAGACTTAGAGAGATTGAGAGATATAGATATAGATATAGATATAGCAAAGCAAAAGAAAGAGCACTTCTGGAGCGTGAGAGTTTGTTCAGCTGATTATGGCTTATATATTTTAAAGAAACTCTATTACTGCAATAAAGTATGGGTATTTTCTAGTCGTGTACTCTCAGTCTCACTACGCTTAAGTAGTTTCTCCAAGTTAATGCATTTGTCTTTTATGCTGGACGCACATGTTTGCGCTTTACGCATTAGCGCCGCTGTCAGAGAGGACTTAATTTTGCCCAGATGCAGTTGGAAAGAGTAGTCAAGACTGAGCGAGAGTGGAGAGAGAGACAGAGAGAGAGCATAGAAATAAAGCTTATAAATATGTTTAATGCGCGCTAGTTGAGGCGTAGCATGCCCTAAGTGCTGCATTCTAGTTAGACTTTTAATGAGTTGCCAGACAATTAAGCTCCACAACAAGCGAGCGGCGTTCGAGGGGGCGTGGCATGTATTGAAGCCATCCCAAAGGGGGATTAAAGGCGCTAGCGAAGCAAATAACAATACAATTTTAATGCCATTTGTTGGCGCTCGGGAATGCTGCGTCTCCAAGTCCAACTCTGACTTTGAGAGGCAACTACGACAATGGCTATGCAATTAAATCTAGTGGAAACGCACACACACATACACACACGCACACATGCTGCTACGTAACTCTGGGAAAATGTAATGGAAAAATTGGTAGAAATGAAATGTGGTTTGGGCGAGATGGTAAAGGAAATGTGCGTGTGCGTGTGTGTATGTGTGTATGACTAAGTGTGTAAGAGCATGTACTGATGATACGATTACATTTTGCCAATACTTTTACATAATACATAATACCTAATGCCAATACTTTTACGTAACAGGCAGAAGGAGGCGTGGTAGATCCCATTAAAAAAATATGATAAGATCATCAAGCTGGCTCGATAAAGACTTGTCTGTCTGTTTGTCTGTCCGTCCGCATGTGTGAACACGTCGATCTTATACACTATTCAGAATGAGCAAAAAATTAATAATAATTAAATTAATAATTTATATGCTCCACAGTTATGAAGAGTATTTTGGTTTTAATAGATAAAAAATAATATATATATAAATATATATATATATATATATATATATATATATATATATATATATATATATATATATATATATATATATATATATGATAATCATGATCAGTAGCTGTCTATATTTGTCTGGTTTTTATATCATGTAAAATGAGTAAAAAAGTAATAAATGTGCTCAACAGCAGCAAGCACACAGCAGCAGCAAAACACATTTGATTCACATATATATAAAGTATATATGTATAGCATATATATTCCCGTTCAGAGTTCCCAGTTGTGCCAGCTCTGGCTGTGCTGCTTCTAAGTTAATTTAAAATGAGCGTAAATTCTCACTCAAAAAGGGCTCAAGAGCTCTGCTGGAGTTGCCTCTTGAGTGACTTTCGGGTATAAAAGGGCGCAGCCGCGGCTGTGGACGATCAGTCAAGTTCGTGATCTGGACGGGGTCAGTCGCAGTGCGGTTCAGTGCAAATGGTGAATAAATTTAAGTTTTTCTGTGAAACTAATTGTACTTGTTTAAATAAATTTATTGTTTAATAAATATTTAAATATATATTTAAGTTTGTCTTGTTCTTGATAATTTGTTTAGTAAATAATTTATATTTAATTGTTTAAATGTTACAAATATATCATTTTTAGTATTTTAGTTATTTATTTTATTTATATATATTTTATTTACCTCCTTGTGAAGTAGTTAAGTTATTTGCGAAGTGCGCTTAGTGTTTGTCATAGACGCAGGGAATCTCTTCTCTTCATTTTAATTCTGATATGTATATATATATTTGTATTTAAAAAAGAATATAAAAATTAACTATATATAAATATATGTAATAAATTAAATAACAATAGCATTGACAAATGTTTGTTAAATAGTTTATTTAGCTATTACAAAATGAATATTTATGACAATTTTCTCTTTTTAAAAATAGAAAAATTTCTAAAATAAACAAAAAAAAAAAGTAATAATAATAAGTCAGAAAAAAAATATAAACATATAAAACAGTTAATATAATAATATTTATACCTATAATTACTATTTACTTATATATAATATATATTTTTATACTTAAAAATGCAAGAATTATTCTCATATTTATATTTATTTGGTAGAGTTGTGAGTGGGCCCAGGATATTTCCAAGTCGGACACCCCAACTAGAGCTGTCTTACCTATTTTTTGTCATTAGCGTTGACAGTCTTATTGGCATTGGCATTGTCATTAGAAATTGAATAACGAAAATGCTTATCATTTTTATTTTTGTCATCATATCATAAAATATTTTTATTTATTTATACAATTATCTGGCATGACAATATTATTACTAATGTCATTATCATTAGCATTGATATTGGCATATTTTTCTTAGCACTTATCAAATCAATTATATACTTACTTACCTTATTGGAAGCAGTTCTGCGCCTCAGCTTCAACTATATGCAGATTGACCACTCGTTTCCTGCTGTACTTCATCCGTGTTTTTATCTCTTCATTTCAGGCTACGCCTCACATGTCTCGCACGTCTCGCGGCCACGCCAGAATTCGGTTTTCGTGGGGGCCAGCACGAGTCACTATTTGATGCCGAGACCCCCAAGGAAGACGCGCTCCGCCATGGATCTGCACTCGATGGTGCTGGACGAGAGTGCTGAGCAGGTGTAGATAGGCGAGAGGGAGAGCGTATGTTAAGGCTTATGTGTGCGTCTGATACGGTGTATACGTGTGTGTGCGTGTATATGAGTGTGTGTGTATGTGTGTGTATCTATGTTTATGTGTCTGTGTGAGTGTGAGTCTGTGTCTGTGCACGCGAATAAGTCAAGTTTGATATCAAAAGACGAGCCGAAGATGATGATAAAGAGTACTAAATGCAGTTCAAGGATACAAAACTGTCCAATGCCTACTATTTACAATGTATTTATAAACTCAGAGCCACGCAATATTACACCCTCTCTCTCTCTCTCTCTCTCTAACTATCTCTTTCTCTCTCTCACTCTCTCTCTCCGTTTCATAATTTGCTGACGCAGCGTGGCTTCATTATCAGTCTCAGTAAAGCTCGCTGCTATGAAACATTTGTCATGCTGTTCAGCTTTTGTCTGCCACGCTGCGTCCCATGCATAATTTATAGTATTATTAACTATTAATGATATATACTATCTTTACGCGTTACAGTCTCCCAAAAATAAACTCTCACACACACAAGCAAAAATAAACTATTTCGTTACACCTGAATAAGAACTACATATTATGATAAGCTTTACGTAGTATTATAAATTGATATAGATCGTTTCTAGTGAAAAACAGTTTTGTTGCAAACGCTCAAAAGATATCCTCACATACGATTACATATTTTGCTATATCCCCTAACTACAAGTATCTATAACTATATCTATATATACCTATATAATATATATATATTTATTTATTTATTTATATATATATTTAAATATTAGTGCTGATTGAAGCATCTAAGCTCAGCAAATAATATGAACTAAATTCTTAGCACTCGTTCAGCTAGTTCAATTGTTTTTTGCTCTAAGGCAATATGAAATGAGAATAATATATTCGTTAAACTAAAGAATGAGACTCTGAAGTGGAGGAACGATTGGAAATGGAACGCACCAAACCAGCGTGCCTGATACGCGAACGTGTTAAGCAACGGGAAACCGACTTCAGTCAAAGCCAAATTGAAAAAGAAGAAGATATAAAATGAACTGAAACGAGGATAGGAAACATCGAAGGCATTCTAAGCAAAACAAATTACAACAGTATAAGCAGAAGAAGAACATTAGCTGAGTTGAAGTTCAATGCAGAGTGAGCTCTTCGCAGTGGCATAATTTAGTTGATTTGGGAGCTTGCAAGAACTTAATTATTTGGACGGGCACGTGCCCAACGGGTCAATTTTGCCTGCCTCCTTAGAACTGCTAATGGTGTTAACTTTATTTGCATAACAAATATAAAATAGTTGGCCAACTATATATACATATACATATACTCGTTGTCCATTTTATAGATGTGTTAGTCCTATCTATCTATGTATCTAACTAACCAGCCATCTGTCTATCTATCTATATCTGTGTGTCTATCTATAACTGTAATTTGTAAGCCTTTGTGCTAACTTTCGACCAAGAAGAACAACTACAAAAAGGAAAACGAAAAAGAACAACTACAACCAAAAGTATAACTAATGAAAGCTTTAAACAAATAAACAACCCATCCAACTGAATTAAACTAATATTACTCAAACATATATATATGTATATGTATATATATATATATATATAAATACATATTTTAAGATTCTTATATGTGAAAACCAACTAAATTCTAGTGCAAACTATGCGGAACAACTAATTAAACCTTAAAAGCAACTACAACTAAAGCTAAATCAAAAAACAAACAAAAATAACTAAAAGAAGAAGAATATATATATATATCGACATTATATATAACTATATATACATATGTAATAAGTGCATTATGGGTATTCCTTGGCTCTCCATAATCAATATATACCGAAAACTTTGTCTGACGCACTGGCAGCAAATTGAATATGCGAACAAGTTTCTTTTCAATTATTCAGTGTTGTAAAGTGCACTAAAGTAATTTTTTATCTTGCATACTGCAAGGTTAACAAGAGCTTCAACAACGAGTAAAACATAAATAAGAGCAAAACTAAGCAACAGTGTTGCATAACAGCTACATATTTACAGGAGCTACGGAATACCCCTACCCAAGATTCGTTCGACAAAGTGTTCCAAATTCGAAAATAAAGATAAAGGTAAAGGTACACAAAGGTACTCAAGTGTTTAGTTTCTATGCTAAAAACATAAATACACAAAAATAATTACGTAAAAATATAGATATCTATATATGTATATATATATATATATATATATAGTTGTATATGTGCCCATCATATAAAACTTTATATACACCTACTATACATATACATATATACATACATATGTATATATTCGTATGCTATGAAAATGTCAAAACAAAAATTATTAAATGAACAATTATATACAATACATTTCGGGAATTAAATTGAAACAATTATATTTGAAGCAAGCCAAAATGTGTTTTAAATTTCTTTCTCTGTTTGATGGGGGATGAAAGACAAATCTTTCATTTCACATATATGTTTTTATATGTGTATATTATATATTGATGACCACAACAAAATGTTTCTTAAGTTCAAAATATTTTTTAGCATTCTATACAAATGTTTTCTCTCTATCTGTGTCTCAATGTCTTTCTATCGCTCTTTCATTCGTCCTGCCTATCTTTGCCTTCATCTCTTTCATTTTCTTTCTCTCTCTTTCTCTCACTCACTCTCTTTTTCGCTCTCTCCCACTTAAGCTCTTCTTATTTATCCACATTTCTCTCTTTTTCTTTCTCATTCACTCTCTCTTTTTTACATTTCTTTCATCTCTGTCTGCGTCTCCCTCTATCGTTATCTCTCTTAATTTATCTCCATCGTCACGAATTCCAACTTAACTAAATTAATATTATATCGCATCAGCCTAGAAATAAACATCAAACTACTTCTAAGAAAAGGCTCTCAAAAATAATATTTGTTCATTCATTATATGTCGACGAAACCGACTAAACACAACTCCAATAGCAAAAAAAATAAAAAATAAAAAAAAATAAATAAATAAATAAATCAATAAATAAATAAATAAATCAATAAATAATTAAATAAATAAATCAATAAATCAATGAATAATTAAATAATTAAATAATTAAATAAATAAATAAATAAATAAATAAATAAAAAGAAATAAAATTTCTTTCTCAAACAAGTTTTTTAGTTCTGATTATAAAAAATCGAAATACATCGGTAATAGACTGAATTTGACTTGGTTAAACTGCGTTTACTTTTGTAAAACTCTTGTTTTATAAATTTAGAACAGTTTGACTATTACCAAGCATCGAACCATGACCGCACGCAACCAGGAGGACCTGCACCGCCAGCTGGCAAAGCTTGGATGGTCAGTTCCTTTGTACCCTCAATTTCCGAGCATCTGCGGTCGTGTTATACCCGTCCATCAGCTGGCGATGATCATACTGAGAGAGCAGATCCCGTGTCCAATACGTTCAGCCAACAGTCAAGGCCCGGTCAAGCGTAAGCGCCAAGTCGAGAACTTCACCAAACTGAAAAGGCAAAAGTTCACATAGACTCCATATGCTGTAAGTCCAGGAATCGGCTGATCGCCTGGCGGCTAATCGGTGTTCAATGCTTTCTCTTAAATTATGATTTTTTGCAGAATGCTCTCCAAAACTAACATCGTGGTACCAAATTACGCATGAAAACCACAAATAGCTAAAAAATTAATAAAAAAATAAATTAAAAAAAATTAAATTAAAATTTTAAAAATTAAATAAATAAAATAAAATAAAATAAAAAAAAATAAATTAAATGTAAATTAAACAATTAAAAAAGTAAATGAAATATTTAAACAATTATGCATAAATCTCGATTGTCTTTATATAGTCTACGACTTGAGGGGGCTTGAGAATATTTGGTGAGTATACATCCCTATACCCATTGAGGTATACATATATATTCGCATATGTTTAGAATGAACTCATTCATTAGTCAGATTACACGCCCATTGAAGAAACACTCTGTGAGTGTTTCTGATAGGCTCTAAGAGCCGAGATTCTAATGCTTGTGGGCCAATCACTTAGGCTGCTCCTCTATGATAACGTCATTTGACATTGGGTGTTCGAAGCTAATATTAAGTATAATTTGAAATTAAGTAAATGATTGAATAGGGTGGCAACTCTGTCATAAATTGTACGCAATGTTCGTTTTTAATGTCTCGTAACTCTGGCAAGTGCTTGGCCAATACTAAAATGTGATTCAGCCTTTTTGGCCATGTGGCTGCTGGCTGTCTGCTTTGCCTCGTTCGGGTCATAAACAATTTGGGCAAATGACCAAACGACACATAAACTGCTGACAAGGATGCATAAAGCAAAGAGCAATTGCGCCCTGGGGTCATAAAAGAGGCTTATAATTCGCCCCAGCCACCGAACTGGAACTGGACCCACAGCATGGCCTCAGCCTCAGCCTCTGACTCAGATTCCGATTCTGGCTCTCGCTCAGGCTGCGACGCTGGTACTCTGAAGCCTGGAGACTCTAAGACGCAATTACTCCGAGTCTCTGGAACTGAGATTTTGACTCTGACTATTCCTCTGCTTCTGACTCTGACTCTGAGTCTGTGTCTCATTTTGTGTGTTGACTGCTTCTCCGGCTGCTACTCTTCTCCACCATTCTCACCCTTTCCTCCGACGGGGGCTTTCAGTTCAAGTGCATTGAATTTATGGCCGCAGTGGCACATAGTAAAATGCAACCATAGACCCTTTTAGCAGGCAGCTACCTCCTGCCTCTTGGTCCCCTCTTGGGCAGTCGCCTGTGCGTCGCATGTCCTTGAAGGACGCTTGCACACAAATCACGCGACGGCAGCCTGCAGTCTGCAGTCTGCTAGGGCTGTTCCTGTTGCTGTTGCTCTTGCTGCTGCTGCGGTAAATAGTCGCAACAGCAGCCACCGCCCTATGTGCGATGGGCGTGGCACTCTGTTGCCACATCGCCTGCACTTGCCAAATTGTCAGCTTGAGCGGACTGCTCCAGCTCCAGGCTGTTCGTTCCTTAACCAGTCGAGCTGCTGCTAGTCCATGACAAGGACATTTCGCCTCGCTTGGCCAACTCGACGTTGCCCCTATTTGCAGTT